CGCTCGGTAGTTCTTTCGATTAAACTAAGGAGGAGGCTACAATATCGATAATCTTACAATTAATTCACTTATGTTTATTTCTCCTCAAATATTTGGGAAAAAAAATATCCCAAATCGTCTAAAATGAGACTAAATAACAAAATATTTCCGTTGTATTTCTTAAAACTTTTGTAGTGGTTTTCGGTGGGACATTTTTTAATTGTGCATGAAATGTACAATACAATACACTCGCCGACATGGATAATCCGGCATGCTAAGAATAAACATAATCACCTGTTTGCCAAACCATCACCATAATGGGACACCTGGTATGTTCCCACACGGACTGCGCTGGGTACATGTGACGGGTAATCACAAAAAGATCAATTGTTGAATGTGGGATTAGATGCATGTGTCCCTTAAACTGTTTCACCTTACGCGCCGGTGTAACCAGGTAAACTTCAAGCAAGGTCGTGTGAATATTTACCTGTATAAATGTGTGCAACTAAATAATTTCATTCAAATATAAACTTTGCTAAACTTACTAATCGATTAACAGACAGGAGGTGCTGGGCTGAAGTAATACTCTGAGAGTGAATACTCGAAAGAATACGTTGTTGATAAAATAGGGGGGACTGGGATACAACGTTTATGTAAAGACTACTATAGGATAAAATTGACTTGTTCACAAGATAGTCATCGATGTTGAGATGTAGGACAAGTAATCGTCGTCATCACTACAATGAGTTCTTACACAGAGATTAAACAGATGATTCAGTCTCGTGAATACTGAATAAAGTGTGCGTGCGCCAACATTATTACTCACGCGGAGACATGGAGAGCGTTTGCAAATCTTACCCTCAGCGTCTTGATATTGCATCGGCGTAGGTGACTCACAGATTTGTGCCTCTCTCTCTTTTGAACCATTTTGCTGTTGTTTTTTTATCTCTGAGATTCAATGCGTTGATTTCAACTTTGAACTGAAATATACAACTCATCATGCATCTTTCCTCTGCACGATTTGTATGTTTGATAAATTGTCGTATTATATGTTTAAATAAAAAGGCATGACTACTATTTAATAATCTTTATAGTCTATTGAATATAATTAATCCTTTCTAGCGCAACCATCTTCAATATTATACAGAGGGTGGAATTCAGATGTGCTTTCTAACGCCGGCCTACTCTATCACGAGTTCGACAAATTTGCATGTTTATCGCGTGTATGTTGAGCAGTAATTCTATCATATTTTGTAATTCATTTTGTTGAAAAATAATCATGATCTCTGTGTAGCATGGATAAATGATTGTGGCTTGATGAACACACAAAATATCCAACGGAATAAGTCAGTTATGTAAGTAAGTGGGTCTTTTTGAGGTATATTAGAATAATAGATGTGTTCATTTATCAATTTCAGTTTAATTATTTACAAATGATTGTCTTGATATTCACCGAACAACTGCCTGTTAGCAATACAGAAATCGATCCCATAGCGCTGTTTTCGGTAACGGCTAACGGCGGGTTTTCCGTCTTCATATGTTTGTTGAAATCCAGACACTGCTTGTGACACGGCTACTGCCAAGGGACACAGCTGAACTCTAGCAACTATAAAGTTAGTTTATTTGTTTTACAGGTAACATCGGAATTCGTTAACGTATGTAAACCCCCCCCCCCCGAGGCAATGCACGTTACAGTGACGCTAACCTCCACACATCACCTCGGAGTCGGATGACAGTGTAACATTCACGCGTAATGTGTGTTTGGTGCAATTAGTTCGAACTTTAACAGGTAAAAGTACGCTCATTAGTGAGTAAATATATAGTAGGAGGCAATATTTGATTGTAATAGATTGGTTACACTTGCATTCTAAACCTACAAAACCTGTGAATATCAAGAAGAGTCCAGGGACGTTCAGTGCAATTTACAGGTCTGTTTTTTTTGTTTTTTTTTTGAACGTGAGAACAATTAGAAGAACGGAAATCTCCCATTGATCATGGACGTTGAATGCACTTTAACTTATAATTGATTGAATTAATTGGTTTTATCAATGCGCCGAGCCATTAACTAAATATACTAAGTTATATCGATCTCCATTTACTC